CAATTAAAAAGGAATTTAGAATACATGCTTAATTGTAAGGCTTAATTATTGTTTTGCCATGTGTTAAACATTGAACAAAGAATGAAAATGTTCTCTCGTCAGACTGTCTTACGTTGCCAAACTGTGAATTTCATCTATATTTATTTTGACCGATAATATTTAGTTGAATTCACAGTCTATCAACGCAAGTTTGCCAATAGAACATTACCCAAAGCGTAAAACATTGATTGTTTTCATAATTTAGTGTGGTATGAAAGGAAGAAGATGAATGGGATTAGAACCTTTAGAATGGCAGATCTATAGTAAGGTGAAAGGGTGTCATCAATTTTGAGCAGAGTGTGACCATAGGGTCCAGCGCAAGCACACCCGCCTCTAGATTGAATACCAAATAGATCATTGAGCAGAGCTGCAACAAAGGCCCCATGAAGGGGCTTACCTTTGCCATTTCCTGTCTCCCTCCACATGTAAATCCCTTCCTTTGGACCCTCTCCACCACCTTCTATTTTCGTGCCAGCTGTTGACGGACGATTGGTGGTGGAATAAATGAGGAAAGAGAAAATAGCCTGTCTCTTGGCACTTGTATTTCCTAAAACCCATATGTTGTTGTTAGGAAGAAGCCTCTCTAGTGCCCTTTTGACATAGAAATCCTCATGTTTTTCTATAACTTGATAACCAATGTATTCCTTCACCCAAAAAGCCAGTGCTGCTCGAATTATCTGAATGATTTGAGGAGTACCACCATTCTCCCTTTCTTCTATGTCCTCCCAATACAAAGTGTCCTGCATTGATCATATATTTATTACAAAATTAATTAAGATATTTGTTTGCTATCACCATCTATTATATATTATTCTAGAGTTCCTTATTCTCTTCTTTTCATTATAGCATGTAGGGATGTGACAACGACATAATTAATGTGAACTCATATTTGTTTCCTCAAGTGTTTCACTTGGGTTTGTTGACCAGTTTTGATCGTACCGACATAGATGTTAGCTGGTTTGTGTCATGAATGAAGGAACATATCTTGGTGTATTGGGTTGGGTAGCCAATGTCAAGCTTATGGGTGTCCAGTTTTCTCCAGATCATCCCTCCATGCAAAGATATTTATGAGTGTGACAGTTTCATTGTAACTTGTTATAATATCGATGTATTATGGTATTTATATTTTATGAAGTGACTCGACTAAAATTGAATTGGAGTTGAATACAAATCAGTCCTTATGAGTTTTACCTCTCAAGATAGGAATTGTAAGACACAATATATTAGACAGTTATCCAATTTAATAAGTTTAATCTCATTATACCAAATATCATCCATGGTACTTGTCAATTTAATTGAAATAATTCAGTCCAGTTCGACCCACCAAATGTGATAAATATACATAATATAGGATATTCAATTACGGGAGGGGAGGGGTAGAGGCATGGGGAAGATCTAGGGATGGGGGATGCTCCGATCGCCGGCTGCTGGAGAGGGACGGTGGTCGGTTGGAGTGGCGACTGGGATAGGCAGGAGAGAAGGGTGGTTGATGTTTCAAGTACTTATAGCTTATTTATTTACTTCGAAACATTAACCTTTATTATTATATTGAAATTTTTATTTTAAATAATTATAATTTTATTCAAAAGGTAATTAGAATTTTGGTTGGCAATCCGCCCGCACTGAAGACTCATACCAACAATCAGTACAATTCATGGTGATGAACAAAACACCAAAAGTATTGAAGGCCTACCTTATCGCAGAAGCCATTGACATAAGCAACAGTTCCACCTCCGCAAGTTGATGGAGGGAAAGATCCGAGCTGATACAGAGCCTTGCTCATGATAAGGATGCCTGGGCTTCCTGGCCCACCAAGAAACTTGTGTGGGCTCAGGAAAACACCATCGTAGCTGTCCATCTCTCCACACCTCATCTCAATTTCCACATACGGCCCACTGTATTTATACAACAACAAAGATTTAAAAATTCAATTCAATTAATTCAAGGTGCATCTACAACAACTAACCAAGCAGAGTACGCAATAAAAGACAGCTACGTATATGCCTAACTAATTAATAAAAAATTCAAGCAGCAGTAGTCATGCGCATACCTAAATCAGATATGCTAAGGTCGGTCGTTCACGTATGTGTTGATTATTCTTGACCATTAAATTCATATGAGATCTGGTATTGATAATTAATTTTGGTACCTATGCATACGTAGATCATTTCTAATTGTTAATTCACGATATATTAATGATTGACGTGCACAAAACTCTAAATAAATATATTGTTCTAGACTATTACTTAATATGGGATCTTTAACTCAAATGGTTGAGAGTCACTATCCTACATTGAGGTGGTGTTTTCCAATTCTAGTGTCCTCTTCTTTTTATATTATCGCTCGTATATATAAAGAAAAGAAGAAAAAAAAGAAGATGACTAATTGAAAGTAACACACACCTTGCTGCAAAATCAAAGCAGGCAAAGCCCCCATATTGATGAATAAGTCGAGCAATGGCTCTTGTATCAGAGTAAATCCCAGTGACATTGCTGCAAGCTGAGAAGGAACCCAGAATTGGCCTGTTGGCATATTTATATTTCTCAAGTTGCAGTCTAAGAGCCTCCAAGTCCAGCAAGCCATCATCATTTACACCAATCTCAACAACTTCAGCCAAGCTTTGCCGCCATGAGAGGAGGTTCGAATGGTGCTCGTAGGGCCCAACAAAAACCAGCCACCTTTCTTCTGTGTTCAGATTATTTATCACTCTGTCTCTCAAGATTGAGGGCACAGCAATGCCCATCACCTCTTGGAGCCTTTTAATGGCTGAGGTGGTGCCTTGGCCGCAAAACAAGAGTGCCTCTTCTGGTCCACCCCCTAAGCATTTTTTGATGTACTTGGCTGCCTCATGCACCATTTTTGAAGTCCGGTTTCCAACGTAGCTGTCACACGTGTGAGTATTCCCTGTAATGAACAAATATAATAAAATGAATTGTAATTAGGTTAGGCAGCTATACGCATAACAGATTGATGAATTGTAATTAGGTTACACTGCTATACGCATAACAGATTGATCGTCGGACTAAGTAAGTAGCCTACTCTTTTCGCTAAGTGAAATCATGTAAAATATAACATTGAATAATTAATTAAGTTGACTTAGGGGGCAGAGCGATTAGTGGACAAGTTCTATTCAAAACAAGCTTATGAGAAATTATTGAGTTGAGATCATTTCAAACACGCGGTTAGCAATGTATTAGCCAATATTGGAATCGAAAAAGACAAAAAGAAAGAAGAGTATACCGTAAAAGGGGAGGACATTGTTGAGGATGAAGTTTTCGATGTAGAGAAGAGAGCGTCCGGAGGCAGTGTGATCGGCATAAGTGAGTCTTCGTTTCCCAAACGGAGAATCGAATTCAGCAGCTGCGCCAATGACTTGAGATCGGAGCCAAGACAGCCTTACCTCCTCGGACTCGGTCCTCGGCATGGCCTCCTCCTCCTCCACCTCCTCCAGTGTACCTCTGAATGAGATTTCGGAACGCTTGCAATCCTCATACGAAGAGGAGGATTGAACTTTAAGGGTCTTGCTCAACATGGGTTGCTCCGAATATTCAAATTCCATGTCTCAAGGAGATTAACAACAACAACAAAAACTATCGAAAATGGATGGCATGAACTGATCATAGAAGAAGAAGAAGGAGTTGGAGGTAGGGCAAGTGAACTGTCCTATTTATATGCCTGCATATGCATACGGTTTTAAAAAGATCAGAGAGAGTTCTGGTGGGTTTATAAACTAGGTGTTGCATAAGTGAATGGTGGGTTTCGTCGTCCAATTCTGGGAGCAGCGTTTTTAACACATAGTAATAGTAGCGAAGGCCAACCAAACCCATTGTATTTTATTTGTGCTCTGTTGACCAGGTGCGTCGTCTGACCTTTCTTCATACTTAAAAAAGTTATATTGGATGGATGCCAAATTGCATCCATAGTAAATGCGACATTAGTTTGACCCCAAAAAAATAGAGTGGTGATTTTCCCACTCCTATTTCTTCTATTTTATCCACTTACACTCCTTTTTTATAACTAAAAAAGGAGTGTAAGTGGATAAAATAGGAGTGGGGAAATCATTACCCAAAAAATATGTGACATTAGTTTGGTTGGATTTTAAGCCACGGCATATTTTTTCTTTGGAAAAAATACAAAATAAAACTACTGGTTTTTTGGTTGAAAAACAAAACTACCGGTTATGTTGCCAATTATAACGTTCAAATAAAAGTGTTTACGAAATAATTGAAAATTGTATAGAATTCTAAAACGAGGGAATTTAGATCTCTTAAATTTATTTCAATTAATAATTTCAGTGTTTGAATTTATGACAAACTACAGTAAACCCTCTAACTTATAGGGTCATTTACCCGATTTTGAGGATATTTACCAATACATACTCAACGTCGCGAAAACCCTACAATTTGCTCCATTCATTAACTAAAATATTAGTAAATCTGTTAAATTATTGATGTGGCATTTGTGGAACCTATTTTTAATTGACGTGGAGTTCTACATGGACAAAAAACTAATAAAAATTTTACTTTTAAAATTATTTTATAAAATTAAACATATAAAATTAAAAATTAAAAAAAAATTAAAAACCCTACCCAAAAACTCTCCCTCCTGATTTCTTCCCCCTTCCTCCCAATTTCTTTCCCCACAGATTTCTTCCCCCCGCCCAATTTCTTCAATCCCAGATTTCTTCCCCCCACCCCAGATTCCTTCCCCTTGTTCCTGCTTCCTTCACCAACAACAACAGGGTGATCCGATTCACTTCCTTCTTCTTTAGCTTCCTCTTCTCTGAAGCCACTCTTGAATCTGCGAGGAACATTGCGCAGATACCTCATCCTTCCAGTTCCACTGGTCTTCCTTCGGATGGCCTTAACATCCAGTTGTCTATTTTTATTTTTAATACCGACAAAATACAACACAAAGCCATAAAAATAAACCCAGAAACAAAAATCATAAAAAGGAAACATTTTCCTAGAAAATCATCGTCAAAATGAAAATTTCATTTTCTGGGTATTCAAAAATCCCAACAAAAATGGAAAGAACATCAACAAATCATCTACCAGATTCATATTATGACCAATAGAGATAGATTATGTGTCTAATAAAAGTGGTTTGAAGACATACATGTAACTGCCGCAAAGGTATACCACTCTTGACTCTTCAGAGCCAACAGGGAGAGACCGGCTCATCCATGTGGCTGCCTAGAAATTTGCAGAATATTATTGATTTCAATCCATTTGACTGCATGCTTCTTACTGTTTTTTTGTTAGCTTTGATCTTTATCTATCTATGGCTTTATTGGAGAAGGAGAAAGATGCTCTTTCAATTGAAGCTAATCGTGCATGTCATTTTGTTCCAAAGCTTTTTATAAGAAAAGAAAAAAGCTGGAATCCGAGAAGACAAGACTCCCTAAGAGCGTCTTGTAAACCAATTATTCGATCTGGAGATCCCAGCAAGGCTGGGATGTCTCTTGCAAAGAAGAATTCATAGAGAAAGCACAAGCCGAGCAGCGACTCTTCTGCAAGTGGAAGCTGCGACGTCCACACCTCACGCAGAGGGTGTGGGTCTTGTTCATCCTCTTACCAAAACTCCTTGATCCCTTCCCGTGTCCATTTGTAGAAAACTGGGGGATAGAAATTAAGAGGAAGGGGGAAGAAATCGGGAGAGAGAGAGAGAGGGAGAGAGAATCTGGGTAGGGTTTTTATTTTAATTTTAATATGTTTTAATTTTTAAAAATAATTTAAAAAGTAAATTTTTTATTAGTTTAAGAATTCGATACGAATTGTGCTAAGTATCTATTTAATTATGTAAACTCTAAGAATTCGATACGAATTTGATTCTCCTTTTCCATCGTATGAAGTAAATAAATGTTAATGCATATGATACTTTTCACTGACCATATTGGAAACTAATAGGTCACACCTGAGAAAAAAATGTTTGTCGTTTCAAATACAAATCAATCTCTTATTAAACGGGCAAAAAATTAAAAACAAAAGGAAAAACGGATCAGCTAGCGATACAGACTACAAACTAGGTAGTCTGTACGCTAACTGATCGCTATATGCCAGCCGAATTTCAAATGAGGGTTCATATAACAATAAAGAATTAAATTCAATCATGAGGAAACTATTGGGCTGTAGTAGACAGGGTTCTGGTTGAAACGCAATCCATATCAGCAAATTGAATCTTCAATTAGGATGCTTGATGCCCAGCTAACCAACATCAGCAGCAGAGCGGCAAACAACAAGATGATCAAGTTCCAACTTCAGTATTATAGAATAGACTCTACAGAAGCCTGAGCTACTAGAAGTCCAAGCCAGCTCCTAATTGACGGTATGCTTTACGACTCACTCTAATCTTATCCGATGTCGAAGAATCCTAATCCTTACTCTGCTATATAAAGACAAGTCTCATACTAGACATTATAAAGAGAAGTGTCATACTAATCCCTCCTCTCTTGCATTTTCATTCAAGGTTTAGTTTTTTTCATCAATAATTGTTATCAGGATAACATCCAATGCAGCTTGCGAAAAACCTTTTTACTTTAATGATGAAATAAATAAATAAATCGACCGGACGACCTAAAAACATCATGAATACCACAGAAGGGCACCCCTGCTTCTTCTGCTAAACAGCAATCCATATTTCCATCTCTTTTTTATTTTTTATTTTTTTTCTTTCTACCTACCCTGTGACCATTTTTGGTTTGGACCACTGGATCTGGATAATAACACATGTGGTTTGAACCTCTGAGCTTAACATCTGAATCTCCGTGAACATTATCCAACTTCTGTCTTTGCATCTGCGCATCTCAGCTTCAATCTGTTTGAAAACTATTTATATAGTCAGCCCTTCTCTTTCTGCAGTGTATAAGCGCACACGCACACAAATACACAATAACAGAAACCCAGCAAACATAAAACTTTTAAATGACAAGAACAACATCAACTATTTGAATTTAACACTTCTCTATCAACGCAGTTGAATAAGTTGACAAAAGACAGTCTGGTAGAGAGAAGATATAGGAAGACATATATAAATAAAGTAACCGATGAACGTTTTTTTGGTAAAATTTTGGATATACTTTTCTTTCAAAGAATATTATTTGAAAACATTATCACTCAGATCTTGCCCCAAAAGGATTGCCAAAACATCATTCCAGTATTAAGTTAAGGAACAGAGCAACAAATAGCAAAGAGAATCATGGATTTCCTCGGAATTGTTTTTAAAATAGAAAATGCACAAGTTTGCAATCCTTAACTTTTAGGAAGTAAAGTTAACCATCCTTTTTCCCTTTTGGGTGATGAAAGCTCTATCATTCTCTCTCATGCAACCATGAATGTATTTGAGAAACCAATTTATCCAAATTTCATGTCAAAATACTCACTTGAAAAGTAGGCTGCATTACACAAGTTTACCTCTCAGGAGTAGTTGTCCAGAGTTTTATCCAAACTGTTCTTAATAATGCTAACCAGTTACCCTGCCAAAAAAGTAACAGATAGATTTCAAAATTTGTTTCCAGAATATGAAAAAGACGAAGAGAAAAAAAAAACAGATGTTCTTTCAGTAACATTCCAAGAGCATCAGTTCGTTTAACGACGCAAAGAAATACATTAACACTATCACAAAATAGAAAAAGGGAAATCTATTAAATCAGTTGGAATAAGAACAGAAACTCACATTGAGCCCATCAACTGAGGAAACCAGTGTGGCTGACAGTTGACTTTGAGAAAATGTTTCTGGACTTGTCCAGTCATACATGAATATGGCAAGTTGTTTGTTTATTACAAGTAGTGTCTTCCCATCATACACATAGGCAGAACCACTTTCAGTCTAGCAATGCAAGGCAGTTGCAGGCTAGTTAGTCAACTTTCATTCAGATTCAACATTACACTTCAATATTAATAATCTCTGCTTGGTAGAGCAGGCTTAACAGCCCAAAAAAACTGTGTTTACATAATATGGCTAAAGGGGGGCTCTTTCATGGTGCTGACCAATATGCCAATCCAACTAGGATAGTTCTCTAGGTTATGTCATTTTCAGCACCTAAAGCATAGCCGGTTTCTAATGCAATATTCGAGCCACTCGAATTTTCCACCAAAGCTTCCTTGCTTCGTCTGTAAACCCTGAACTATAAAGACCATCAAAGACAGCCCGTTGGGTAGCCTTGGGTATTTTCTTCCCATGTCTTAAACATTTCATCATAAGCTTGGATGCCAATCGAAACCTTCCAGCCTTGCAAAGATTGTGCACCAAGGAGGTGTAGGTAAATGAATCTTTAGTCTCCATTGATTTGTACAATTCCATTGCACGATCGATTTGACCAGCTTTACATAAGCCATCAATCATGCAGTTGAGGGCAACCAAGTTTTCATGGAAGCCCATCATTTTCATATAATGTAAATGTTTTTGAGCCCCGCTAATATTACCGGCCTTACACAATCCATCAATTATAATTGTGTGGGTATACTTGTCACACAGCAGACCTCCATTCTCCATTTCATCCAACAGCTTATAGGCAGCTTCAAACTTACCTTCTCTACAATACATATTGAGTAAGGTGTTGTAAGCTACTAAATCAAGTTCAATGCCGTTCCTTATTGTCTGTTCCATGCAAGCATTTGCCTCTTCTACCCTCCCAGTCTTAACCAAAGCAGCAACGACTGTGCAGTATGCATAGCCATCAAAAGTATACCCTTTACCCATCATAACTGACATAATCTCAAGCCCTTTGTCATACTTGTTGGACCTAAAGCAGCATTTCATAACAGTAGTGTAGGTTATGAGATTTGGCTCATGGCCTGAGTCCCCAAGTTCCTTTAGAATTCTCCTTGCTTGTCTCAACCTGCGTGTCTTGCATAGCCAGTTGATAAGAATATTGTATGTCACCAATTGGGGAACAAATCCATGGCGTCGCAAATTCCTATATAACATAAGGGCATTATCGGTGTATCCATTGTTACAAAGGCCATTAATCATTATGTTAAGCGTAGCTGGGTGGGGAGGAAGATTGCTAAGTAAAATATCCTGAAATACTCTGTTGGCTTCATCAGGTTTTCCTAATTTAAAGAAACAATGCATCAGAATGTTGTAGCTCCATAAATTAGGATGTATGCCTGCTAGTAACATTTCCTCAAACAAATCCAGGGATCGTGACAGTAAGCAATTCTGGGTCGCCCCGGACATCAAAGAATTGTAAGTAATGACATTTGGACTTATCCCAGCTTCTTTCATTCTATGAATAACAGAATAAGCTGCATCTAAGCTAACAAACCGAGAATATGCACTAACCAAAGTATTGTAAGTTACCACATCTGGAATCACCCCTAATCTTATACCGTCGATTACAATGGCTTCTGCTTTCTCCAATAGCCGGACTTTACAAAATGAAGCTATGCATATGTTCAACAGCTTAGTCGATAATCCACCAACCATCATTTACATCATCACACATAATGACTTCCCACGAGAAACCCAAGCCAAGCCTACAATATCCCAAAATACAATAAACTCGTTTTTTTTTATTATCAGTAAACAACACAAGAGTGTTATCAAATCAAATTATGTGAATCCCGAAATCCCTAAATTCTAGCTTAGCTGAATCCCTAAATATGAAGTTAGGAACACAATCAGAAATTAAATGACAACACGAGGAGGCTAGGAGCTCACCAGGTCCCGTGGAGTATGGAGACTATTGACGGAGAAACAAGAAGAAACAGAAGAGAGGAGGCTGGACCCTGGAAATAGCGGTTGCTGCTGCAACCTGCAAGATAGGGCACTGTCGGGTCGGGTCGGGCTGGGCTTGGTGCAACCTACTCTACTGGGGGTAAGTTTTAGGGTGGTTTTTTTTATTTAATTTAGAGAATTAAAAATATGGATCCCGTGGATGACATGTGGATACTAAATAAATACACGTAATAACATGACTCAAGGGACTTCTCCAAACGTATCTAGTACCTGCCTCTCCCTCCATCTCCTACGATCTCATCTCTCTTACCTCTCCTTTTTCCGACGGCTTCTTCTTCCTCACCTCACTTCTCCGACGGCTGCATCTTCCTACCTTTTACTCTCGCATTTCGTTTTCTCAATCCCAAATCCTTGCCCCTTATCTCTCCTCTTCTCGCTGTTCCTTCTCAATCTTCGCAACTCAGCTACTACTTCATTAGTCGCTTCTGGTACACCTAAATTCAGCTCCTTTTTCGCTCTCTATTGCTCTTCCTCAAGACTTGAACGCAAGCACACACGAACGCACATATGTATATGCACTAATTTCTGTGTTCCGCTTCTTCAGTGTACTGTGGCAGCAGAATAACAAAATTGAAAGAGGCAAGCTTTTCTTTCACACTTATGGCAATGTAAGTATCGTTTCATCGTTTTTTCTTATTGATTTCTATACATGATTATTTTTGCGACTTATACATAGTTGTAGTCTTGTGCTGTTGTTCTGTTCGTAGGTTTCTAATTTCTGATAATATGGGTATGATTTTTAATAGATTGTGAGATTTAATGGATCTTCTGGTTGTGCTAATTTCTGAGTGAGGGATTTGGGTTGGTATGTTGGGTTATGAATTTGTTTGGAGGGTGAAGGGGAAAACTATGTATTCACATGTTTAACTCAAATTGTGACAAGGCTGTGGATTTTCTGAAAAAGGTGGTTTCTTCATAAATCAGCACTTCCCTTTGTTTATCTGTTCTATTTATTGCCTAATTTCGTATATCATTCTGTTCCTTACTGCGTCTTCTAAGCTGACTTTTCATAGTGCACTTACTTAGCATATAACATTTAAGGATAATTCCTTTTTGCATTTTTTTCAATTTGTAGTGCAGCTGTTGTTGGTTTTGTTTCAGAGTTCTCTAGTTCTTTACTCGGTGGATGTCTTGTCCATTGTTTTGTAGTTTTCCTCTCTCCTTGTTGAAAATGTGGTTCTTTATGATAAATTGAGGTAAGGTATCTAGTTAAGAAATTGATCACCTTACAACTATAACAGTGTTGGGTTTTCCAGTCCATCATGAGTTTCGTAAGCTTATGCCTTCTTTTTGTGGTGTTCTTGACCAGCTCTGTATTTTATTGCTATATGCAATAAAATTTTGTTTCTTTTTTCTTTTAAAAAAAAAAAACACTAATAGTCTTGGAGGATATGAATCCTATTCTCAATTGGATTTGCTTTCCCAATCAAAGAAGGTTTTATGAACATGGTATTCAGATTCCTTTATGATTAGAATTCCTAATTGATGAAGCCCACTATCGTGGCTATACAAGATCTGTTGTGCCAGTTCACAACATTTAAACTGAATATCAGGTGTTTGATGAAATGCTAAATCTATTACCTTGATGCCTTTTTAAATCTATTAACTAGCGCTTCATTTTGTTTTTTTGGATCTAGACATGCTTCTTCTATACTCTAAAATAATTGGAAGTATGGAATGAGAGAAAGAAAAACCATTACACAAGAGAAAAGGCATAAGAAGAATGGAAATAGTTTCTAGAAAGAAAAAGAATTATAGTTTCTAGAAAGAAAAAGAATTATAGAAGATGCATACAAAGACTCTTAAGCTTCTACCTTTAGTACTGAACCTTTCTCAGCTTCACCCATTTGTGGGGAGGAAAATTGGGTGGAGAGGGAGTTGGCTGGTGATATAGAACAGTAGAAGGAACGTAGGTGCTGCTGATTTTATTTTTTTAATAAATTTTACAGACTCGTTTTTAAAGCTGTCCATTTTTTTTTTAAATGAACTTGCTCTATTTTAATATTTGTATGCAGATTATTGTTCTTTTGGGGTTTTCGAAGTTTTCCAAAGGGTAGTTTTGACTTCAAATTCATAAAAGTGTAAAATGATATGCAAGTCAGTTGCTGTGCATTTAGTCAACATGATTTTTATTTTAGAATGGTCCGCATTTTTACAAGCACATTTGAAATTGTGTTATTGGTTACTTACATGTTTTTGTTTTGTTTTTTCTTTCCTTATATGTTATGATTTTGATTTTGTATGTGCTTGTTAAGTTGACGCTCCATTAAGTAGATTTTTCGACCAAAGAAAATTTAAGTGGATTTGCAGTTATTATGATAGCATGCTTTTATTTTGTTTTGTTTTCTCATGGTGCTGCTTTTTTTGCATGTCAGTGGATCTAACAATAACAGGGTCTACAATGACTCTACATTGGAGCAATAATTAGCTTAAAGTATCATCAGAAGCTACAATGAATGAGATATGAAGTTGGATGTTTTTGTCTTCATCGGGTGTCTTTACCAGCCTCTTCTCTGACACCAAGGCATTGTATTATGCTTGGAGGGTTAACTTCCTTTTACAGCTGGAACAAAAGCCTTTATTAGCTGCCATTTTCCTATTGGAATGGTAGTTCTTGTCTTACGTTTCGTATAGTTGCACAATGGATGAAATGACCTCATTAGCTTGGATGTCGGAACTATACCAAAGTAAAGTGGTGCAATAACTCAAAGCACAAACTGCACTCTTGAACTAAAAGCCAACTGACTTGATGGGTAAGGAAAACTTATCGGAAGCTAGCATCGGAGCTAGTGAGGAAGGTGACTCACCTGGACAGAGTGATTCTTTAGGTACTCACTCACGCCATAGTCTTGACAATGAGGCCGGCTTATCAACTTGTCGCGTGTGCCAATGTGCTGAATCTGACAAAAGGGGAGATGCAGCGTTAGAGTTTTTGGGTATCACTCCTCCTATACAAGAAACATGTATAAGCCATGGGCAAGTAAAGCCCGATAGCAGGGTAGCCCTTAAAGATGCTGAAGGTGATATGCATGTCAAGAAAAATGCTGGAAAAGAATCTGGGTTTTTGGAGTTTATAAGCCCTGATGGAGAGGTTTTCATTTGTGGTGCTGATTTAGAGACAGGTTCATGTCACCATGAAGACACATTAGTTGAGCTTGGTTGCTCTTGCAAAAATGACCTTGCTTTGGTACACTACGCGTGTGCACTCAAATGGTTTATCAACCATGGGTCCACTGTTTGTGAAATCTGTGGACGTCTTGCAAAAAATATCAGAATTTCAGACTTCAAAAAGGTTATGATTTCCTTGAAGGAGTATGAAATATTGAGGGAAAGAACAGCTAGGGGAGAACCGGATGCCACACAGGTTAACACAAGTACAGGTATAGATCCTGATGCTGTAGCTGCTATCAGAAGGCAACGACTGAGTGAGATTTCACTATGGTTTACCCCGCATAATAATAGTAACAATAATAACAGTACAAGTACCAATTCTGTTTCAATTTCACAAGCTGTATCAGAACAACCTCAGAATACTGTTGTTGCCCCTGCTGAAAATCCTGCAACCAAGTGGGCTGTGGAAGGTACCGGGATTCTGCTTGCTACAGGGCTGCTTACTGTTACTCTTGCATGGCTTATCGCTCCTCGTGTTGGGAAGGTATGTCAAAATTGGTGTCATTCAGCTTATTAAAAAAAGGGTACAGATTGGAAAATATTTCTTCAACATCCTGGGGAAACTTAATTTATGTCTATTGACTTATCTTTACATGCTGGTAAAATTCAAAACTTTTCACAAACATGCACTGACTGACCTTCCAAATTGCATGTGAGGGACCAGAAGGAGAAAGATTTAGTATTCCCATAGTACTCCCATCACTTTTCTTCTGCGACAGTATGCATGCCTTTTGATGCTAAAAATGGATCTTTGCTATGATCCCCATGCACTCCATCTTTTCTTTTCTGGTTCTTTTTTCCTTTCCGTCTCCTTCGATGACCCATCATCTAGATTAAGAAGTCCAACCACCTCCTTGTCACCTAACACCTGCTTGTTCCACTATTTCAAGTCCTTTTGAGAGCTTGAAGCTTGTTTTCGAAAACAAAGACATGGTTAAAGCACAAAATTATAACCCCTCTGTGAACCTCTGATCTCTCCACAAAACCTTAAGAGTTAATTCACATATTCAATCAAATTAAATTGTGCCTTACCCTTGTGTAAGCCCCTACAATCTAACAAGTGTGTGGCCAGTGATTTGAAATGGTTGTTGGAAGCAAGCTTATCGGAACATCTGGGAAGGGCTCCTTGTCCATAGAAAATAAAGGATGCACTCTTAACATTGACAGTAACTCTTGATTATTGGACCTTGTGTAATCAACTCCCACTAGCAGCACATACATCAGAGCGCTGAACTCCACGAAATTCCCAAATTTTTTTACTGAAATCTGATCACCAAATATCCCCTCGCATCCCCCAAGCTTCATAACATATTTCCCTAGACAGAACGTATAAAGAAACCCAACCATCCAAACATTGAAGTATACATTAGATTGATAACCTACTCTCATGTCCTTCACCTTCCTAAACATCCTCATACCCAATGAAGTAAAGGGCCCTTGCTTGCCAATACCTGACATGTAATTCAGGAAAACAACTTTCCTATAAACTCTGTATGAAAGGACAAAAGATGTACTCACCTTAATTTTTGAAAGCAGACAACATCAACATGCCAACCCTTTTACCAAATATTTAATAATCAAAGTGTTTCGTAGGTCATTCACATTTTGGACATGTGAAGATAAAGTTCTTGTCTTCATCTCGAATCAAAGCATGGGATTTCAATCAACATCCTGATATTTGTCTATTGAGGCCTTTTTTTTTTTTCACATCAAGTTATGCTACACATTTCTGTCCTATATTTTCTGATGAACTCTAGTTGGGTGTGCAGAAAACTGCCAAAAGCGGTCTTCATATTCTCCTGGGAGGAATTTGTGCTTTAACAGTAGTGGTTTTCTTCCGCTTTGTAAGTAACTTATATCTCTCCTTCATTTATCATGCGTAAATTGTATCTGATTGATTTTCATTGGCTCATCTATGGCTACATCAGGATTTAATATGGTTGGGTTTATTCAATGTTTTCCAGTATATATGATTTTATTAATTAATGGATATTCACGGAGATACTGATGTAGAACAACTAACGAGAAAGGATCTTAGAAGATAAAAGGAATTAGGTTCAAGAGAAGAGGAATAAATTGACAGAACAAGGAGAGAATTAGAAACAGAACTTATAGATCTTAGAAGAGAAGACACAGAGAGAGATACTTAAGGAGAAAATCTGTTTTTCAGTCATTTAAGTCTGCCTCAATTGAATTACAAAGCATCCATTTATAATGACCTAATTTTGGTAGAAACAGGAAAGTAATAAGAACTAGAAGCTAACAAATAGTATAGGAAACTCAATTAAAATAACCCTATTTCAACTCTCTAACTCATTCTGCATTTGATACCGTAAGCTAAGGGTGTGGGAGAGTTGGTTGAGACATTTATATAAAATTTTATATATAAAAAAGGCTTAATTGTCGATGTGCCCCCAGTGCGTCGCCGAAAATCTCACTTTGCCCCCCTACGCTTCAAACTGAGTCAATATGCCCCATGTGCTTTATTTTTGTGTCCCCCATTACCCCCTTCCGTCAGTTTGGTCAGTAAAACTGTTAACTTGCTTACGTGGCATGAGTATTTTAGCTATTTTAGCAATTAAAAATTTTCAAATTTTAAATTAAATTTAAAAAAACTGTTTAAAACATTTTAATAATTAGAAAGTTCTTTTTGAAAAAAAAAAAAAAATTTAAAGCCCCTAGCACCCGAATAGCCCCACCACCACAACAACCCAACCCTTCCCCACCGCCACCAGCTGCCCCCAACCTATGGCCACCACTCATATGATACCCCCACCCAGGTGACGCACCCACCCCAAACCATTAATAACAATCAATCCCAACCCCCAGCCATACTCACCCCGAGCTGACACCCCAAATCCACACCCAACCTCACAAATCCAATCTGCTCCAAGCCGTAGCCATCCCAACAAATTACCCGAATGCTAAAACCCCAAGGCACAAGAACTTCTCTTATCTTCTCCAACTGGGTTTGATTTGATTTCATGCTTGTCATTTTCACATATTCTCTGTGCAGCCATGATGGTTATGCGATTGGAGTTTACAAACAGTAAACTCATATTGAAGAACTTTATTTTGTTTTTTATTTTTTTTGCCATGGCGGAGGAGAAATCAGGATGGCAAGATGGGGAGGGAATGGTAAGCATGGGTTGGGGGTGGTTGTTGGCGATGGGTAAGGGTTGGGTTGTGGTGGTGGGGGTCTATTCGGGTGCTGGGGGATATATATTTTCCCTCTTTTCTAATTTATTTTATTATTAAAATGTTTTTAAACTGTTTTAAAATTTTGAGAATTTTTAATAGTTAAAATTACTAAAATAACCATACCACGTCAGCAAGTTAACGATTTTAGTGACCAAACTAACGGAATGAGGTAACGGGGGAAGCAAAAATAAAGCATAGGGGGCATATTGACTCAGTTTGAAGTGTAGGGGGCAAAGTGAGATTTTCAGTGAAGCACAGTGGGCACATTGATAATTGAGCCTAAAAAAAATATATTCACAAATTTGAGTAAGATAAATATAAAAATGCTTTCTTGGTAAAGTACTCTCCTTAATTGAACCGCACCACTATAAAATAAAGAAAATCACAAATTTGATTTTCACAGTAAACTCATAAAATATAAAAGGCTATAATCAAGCTAGCTGCAATTTGTGTGCATGTGTCTGGATGCCCTTTAGTTTACATAGATAGGATTGCAGATGACCTGTTGATTGATAATGATTTTCTCTTTGGATTTTATTTTGTATGCACGCATGCATAAATGCATATCCTAAATGTTAGCAGTAGCAAACTGAAAACTACTTTGCCAACTTCCTTTGGCAACCTGAAACTATTATGTACCTACTCAAGAGAAAAGAATGAAATAATATGCCCAAGATATGCTGCACCTTTGTTCTGTTCTCTGAAACTGTAAGTAGACTGTGATAGTTATTTTATCTTTTGCGTGAGGGGAGATGGTTGGCGGGTGGGATATTGGTTTATGTTGTTTCATCTCCATCCCGTATTCTTTATCTTATTGTGTTTCACATAGAATTGATCTGTATAAATTTTAGTACCTTGAAATAGAAGATGACCAAGCCAGCAATTGCTGGGATGCAAAAATGTGGGTGGCTCTTTTAATTAATTTTAAAACGATTAGTTCGCAGATTGGAAGTTTGGTTACTCCATTCTGTTTCAACTAAAGAGATGTATTCAGAGAAGTTTTTCTATGAACAAGCTTTGAGGAAATTTTGATTATACACATGAATTTGAGTGCAGTCACGAGAATTAAGTATGGACCTAATGACAATGAGATGTATAAATCCCCATAATAATCTCCTATTTGTTTCCTATATAAAAACAATAATAATATTTTTGCTTTTAAATGTGGCAGTTTGTGCTCACCAGAATCAAGTATGGACCTGCTCGCTACTGGGCAATATTATTCGTCTTTTGGTTTCTTGTCTTTGGTATTTGGGCTTCACGGACACACAGTTCTCATACAACATAATTTTTATGTATATAGTTTATGCATATTAATCCATTATTTCTTCTTGCAAAGAAACTCTACAGAACTTCGTTTATATTTCAGAGATTATTTGGTTGGCTGCCATCGATGGGAAAGTGTGGGTGAGCTATGGATGTATTAAATGCACTGTAGGATGTGAATATACTGTGTATTTTCCCTTTTCAAGAAGAAGATATTTGCAATCACATGATGTAGCCAACAACCAACAACCGAAAAAAAGGGTTGCATGATATAATTGGCTGCATTTTTATGGTTTTTATTCCTTTCGAAATTCATGTTACATGTCCAAATTTATGGGTCATCATACCTCAGTTCATGGATTATGCTCTTCTTTCGAATAAAATCATTCAGGAAAATTCACTGAATGATGAACATGGAATTTTCGTGGTAATCCGATATATGTTGGGCATTTCCACTGATTTAAATTGGCTGAACTGGATCAACTAGTACAATTTGATGTCTCTTTCTTTTTTCCAAAAATCTGGCGTTAAATCAAAAGCGGTCCAGTCTATGATTTAGAATTTGGCGTTAAATCGAAAATTGTACTCAGTTGAGGGGATTGTTGGCTCAACGCCGGTATCTAGAAAGGACATACCGACATGGTCAGTGCAGGCATGAGGGATTGTTGGCTCAACAAATGCAGATAATTAGTCGCCGCATTATGCCAGTACCAGAAAACATCTATGTAGTAGTATATTCTATCATATATTACCAGTGCAGACAGATTTACCTTCTACATATCACATACATGTGCCCAGGTGGTGTGTTCATTATAATTGACTATGTAATAGTGCGTGGAAAAGGGGTAAAGAAAAGGAAAACCCGACTTGGCGATTTCTCGACGACTGTTTAAAACATTTCAAATTGCTTGACACCCCTAAATTAACTCCTTCTCTATCTCTGTTAACTTTAATCTTACATGTTTCTATTTATCTTTGAATTCATCTATCCCTTTCTCTCACTTTCTCCCAATCATAATTCTCTCTTCTGCGTCCTTTAAATTCCCACATTGTCCTGCATAAACTGTTTACTGAAGACTCATGGATTGCACACATTATGGTGGATTGTTTCACAGATTTATTTACCATTGTAAGTTCTCTAATAAGGAAACAATAACCAAGAACAAGAACCATCACGAAGGTATTTCTTTAAAGACATCCAAATTATAGAAATCAGTTCAATGTCCTAGTACCTTAACCCAATCAAGAATGTCAACAACTGAACAATTTGAGGGCCTTCATATCCTGAAGCAATCAAAGAGAGAAACAATGCTATGCAGTAGAAAACAATATATCACACTGATATTTGTCAATCAGACTTCCAGTCAAAAGCCTACGGGAACACTATGAAAACAGTGACACATATCACCATTATAAACCAATACCAAAAGACTTTGGCCGAGATTTGTTCTTACTTGACAACTTCATCAGTTTTGCATGTTCTTCTTCCTCTTCCTGCTTTTTTCTCCTTGCAGCCTCTTCTTTCTGTCTCTGAATCAGCTCCAACTCTCGATACCGTTCCTCTTCTTTGCTCTGCTGTTCCAAAGCTTCTCTTCTCTGAGCCTCTTCCACCCTCCTCCGATTCTCCTCCAGCATCTTATCAAGCTCTTCTCTCTCTTTCCGAGCTTGTTCCTAAGTGACGTAGGGAACCATATCAAAGGATCATATAGATCACAAAAATGATAACATAAAATGTAAATATATATATATATATGAGTGCATGTATGTATAAGTAAGCGTGCATAGTTTAATCACATGCACAGCACAAGAAATCTTCAGCTATGACAACAAAAGGTAGAGAAACAGTGATTGATTCAACTACAGGCAACCTAACTGAGAGAACACGACAGCATTGACGATGTCGCCGATGATATTTAACCCAGTTTACTCATTAAACAGTCACTATTCCAGGGCAAAAATTACCAAAGCTAAGATGGAATGCCACACGTACTTGTAGCATGGGGCTCATCATAGGCAGTTGATTATTGACCTGAACAGCCATCTTGATTAATAAATTCATATTTGTCAACCATCTTTGGTAGCATGTGCAATTTGGTCTTCATAATCTTCTTTTTTCATGTTCTAGTGAAGCACATTTGTTCCTTCATTAAAAACAAAGACCAGTTTTAAATTGGTTTTTGTTTTAATTTTGTTTCGCATTTCTCCACCCTCTCAACTCTTTCACATCTTCCTTTCCTCTATTTCCTCAATTGAGAAAAAAACAAAACAAAACAAAACAAAAAGACTACTAATGTGACTAACTCAATAAAAAATTCAACCAGTGATCAAACCTCAAACAAATATTGCAATACACACATTCACTTGACTTCATTTCGTGTTCATATATCGACCCAGATGAAAGGGATAAGATAATGGTCAGAAGCCAAGTTGCTTACTTCTTTCCGTCTTGCTTCAACAAGAGCAGCTTCCTTTTCTTTTTCAAGTTGGGCTTTAACATCATCAAACAATTTCTTCTGACCTTCTTCTATACGCCTCTCGATTTCTAACTTGACTTCATTAGAAGACAACCTCTCCTCCACATTCTTCCGAATCGCTTCCTCAAGTCTCATTGCAGTCTCTTCTTCTAACCGTTTGAGTTCTGCCTCCTGTTGACGCCTGACAGATAATGGCACATTCAGAATGGATAATAAACAGACTATAGAAGAAAAATGTGAGCAGCAAACAAAAATTCCAATCAAATCATTGTAACATGATCATCCTCATATATTATACACTACCACAGAAAGCATGCCTCACCAGTCACTAAGACACTAGCAATTGTTTATGGATTATAAAATGCTGGGCAGTTGATAAAAGTTACCTGATTTTTTCTTCCTCCTCTTTCTTGAGTTTATCAGCACCATTTTTGCGTTCAGTTGAGGTTAGACGGGGCCCTGGAGACTTGGGTAAAGGAGGAGGAGACAAAGAGCTACTTCTACTCCTACTCCTACTTCTGTGTCGTCTATGTCGTCTGGGTGTCGGCGAACGACTCTTGCGCCGCCTGTAACTTGGCGAACGACTTCTCCGGCGACGTGGGGAGCCACTCGAACGATTTCTTCTATGTTTCCCAACAACATTGCGAATTGCGAACAACCAAATTTAATTTAATACAATTCAACCCAATTCATTCAAAAAATTGCAGATATTTAAAAATGGGAAATTTGAGAACTGACCTGGAGTAGGGTGAGCGGCTTCGATCTCTACGGCTTCTCCCTCTGCTGTAGGATGGCGACCTTGATATGCTCCGTCCCATTTTTTCCCTTTATTTCTTTGTTTTTCTCTTTTTCTTTTTATTGTCATGGCTCTTCTTAAATGAGGAATCTAGTGAAAAACCCGAAACAAACGGCCAGCTCGCAAACAAACCCAAAATATTTTCGAAAGACAAAAAAACCCCTTCTATTTAGCACTAAAGATATGCAAGTTCTAGGGCTCTTTCCTGTTCTCTATTTGGGTAAATACTATCGGTAAACCACTCTGAGGGTGTATGCTCATGAAATCTAATTTTTACATTCTTCTAGAGAGGGATTGAGAAAAAATCTCAGTACTCTCCTTTAGCTTTCAATCAATAAAACTTCATTTGTTCATATACTTTCTCTTATTGCACGCTCTTACTTCAACCACAATTACTACCTCCGACCATTGTTAATACCTAGTCATAACAATTCTAGCAACAAAAGCAATTAAGTAAGTCTTTTTCTCTTTTATTTTTGGTTTTCTTAACAGACGTCCAAAACAAGAAAACATTTTTTTATAATTATGTTATTATCTTGCTAAACTGATGATCAATACTTTGTTTGAGCACTTGGTCGTGTTTGATAATTGCCATAATAATAACTGGATGTTTGTAAGGGAACCTCTGAGTTCTGCTCCATAACCCTTTAAGTTGGCATCTTTGCAGTTCTATGTTCTATGCATGGTTTGTGGTTGTTATTTTGGCTTTTAGAAACCTTGACTAAGACCCGCATAAAATATGGTATTCGAGCTTTAGTTTAGCACCTCAATAATATAATTTTACAGTAAAGTACCTTGAGGACAGAAGTCAATCAACACAAACGATAAAAAAACCAACGCTTTATAACATGTTAAAATTTTGTTAATTATCAAAACCACTAGTTAAAAACAATGAAACTTTTGCATGTTTGACCCTTGGTGGACACCTATTAGAATAAATAAATAAAACGTTACAAGAATTAAAAAGATAGGAAGTTGAATACCAAGTAGAAATTAGGAATCTAGAAGAATTAATAAAATCACAAGAAGTAAGTAATTATCCAAGAAGAAAATTAGAAGTATAGAATAGCATAATAAGAAACCAGTATCATATACAAGTTTGTAAAGAATCCATAGAAGCATTTCAAGAGCATTTAGGCATATTAAAAGAAAAATGTAGACTTAGATAAATTTTAATTATATGATAGAGTACCTTAATTTAGAAATCAGTGAAGCACAAAAGAGAAAATTAACTTTAGATAATAATATATTAGTTTGTTAGTTTCCTAAAAAAGAACATAAACATTTATTACACAACATTAACAGTCCCTTAGAAAATAGTATTGTTGACCTTTTAATTAGTCAGGCAGAAAATATAAAATTTGAACATAATAAACATAATTGAATAATTCAACAGTTATTAGAATATTTCCAGAAAAATCCCTAAAAAACAATTAGACAAAACTTAGACTATATAACATCTCAATTAGAAAACAATAATAAAAATATTCAAAGATTTCTTAGTAAGAAATAAATCAAAGACCTCATAGATCTTATAGATAGCAAGCCAAAACAAGTAGAACTTCAATCATTAGAAATTGTTGAGCAATTAAAAGTAGAAGTGCAAAAAAGTCACTTAGTACAAAAAACACTAACTGAACAAGTAGAAAAGTTACATAATAAAATAGATATACTTTTAGTTTAATGATACATTCTAAAATTAATAATAAATATATTAAAGCATTAGAAAGAAGTTGGTAAACTAGATGATGAACCAAAATGTCTTACAAAATTCACAACATCTGTTGTAAGTAGTAATATCCCTATAAGACAAAATAATTTAATTATCCAATTAATTTTAAATCTAGCTGGAAAAGTAGATCAATTAGAAGAACAAATAGTAGAAATCAATCAAGTAGTGCACAATATACTACTTCCACATTACCCAAAGAATTAGTTGATAAACTAGAAAATTT